GCAAATAGATTCCTTTCGGCATATAACAAAATGTTTTAGCAAATCAACAACGAATATATAGTGGTTCAATTTACATTTTTTTTATGGGATGATATAAATATCCATTCATTTATAAGATAAGCACAAAATACTTACAAAAAAATCCTAGCTAATAAACCATTTGGAGAAAAATTAGGTGAGCCTAGAATTATTGTTGACTAAATATGTGTCTTTATATGGAGGATCTCTTTGTTATTGAAGTCAAGTTAGAAGCAAAAGATGGCTACAGAGATGAAGGTTGAAGTCATTTGCAAGGAAACAATTAAACCATCCTCTCCAACTCCTCACCACCTTCGAATTTCCGACCTCTCTGTTTTTGATCAGGTCACATCTGAAGTTTATGTCCAACTACTTCTCTTCTATCCCAGCAGTAGTGATGATGTCAATAATATTGATCACCACCATTCTTTGTTTGCTGAGAGATCCATCCTTCTCAAAACATCATTATCTGAAACCCTCACTTACTTTTACCCCTTAGCCGGAGAATTCAAATATAATTCTTCAATCAGCTGCAATGACCATGGGGCTGCATTTGTTGAAGCCAGAGTCAACTGTCCCATATCACAGATTTTGGGAGAACCAGATCTTGGGATGCAGAAACAATTGGTTCCAAATCATATAGAATGCAGGACACAATCAGGCAAAGGCTATCTTCTACTAGTCCAAGCCAACTTCTTTGAATGTGGTGGAGTGGCAATTGGAGTCACCATTTCGCATAAGGCCGGTGATGCTCACACACTCAGTAAGTTCATTAATAGCTGGGCTGCAATTGCCCTTGGCTCCACTACGACTACTGATGTAGTGCCTCCTGCACAATTTGGTGCCGCAGCTTCTCTTTTACCACCTCTGGAGTTCCTCAACTCGCCACAACCTCCCTTGGAATTTGTCCACGAAAATTGTGTAACAAGGAGATTAGTGTTTGATGCCTCAAAGATTGCTGCTCTAAAGTCCAAAGCTGCCAGCACCACCGTGCCAAACCCAACACGCATAGAAGTAGTGTCAGCGCTCATTTGGAAATGCGTAATGGAAGCATCAAGATCAAACTTGGGTTCGGCGAGGCCATCCGCATGGTGTCAAGTTGTAAACATGCGGAAAATAATGGTTCCGCCCTTGAGAGTTGACTTATTGGGAAATTTCTTCGGGTACTTTGTAGCAAAGACAGAAGAAAGTGAAGTAGATCATGATGTTCAAAGCTTGGTTGCTGAAATGAGGAAGGGCTTTGAGGAATTTAAGGTAAATTTTGCTAATGGAATTAGTGGGGAGGATGTGTTGCAGCTGTGCAAAGAGTTAGGGGAGCTCATTGGAAAGGTGGATACAGACAACAACTATTGTTCCACCAGTTGGTGCAGGTTTCCCTTCTACAAAGCCAATTTCGGATGGGGAAAGCCATCCTGGATGAGTATCCCAGCTGGTGCTGTAGAAATCAAGAACATAATTTCATTGATGGATGAAAGATATGGGAATGGTATAGAAGCAAGATTGAGTTTGAAAGAGGAAAACATGGCCTTAGTTGAAAGTAACCAGGAGCTGCTTGCATACGCTTCTCTGAATCCAAGTGTCGTCATGTAATTTTTCCTTCTTTTTTTCTTTGTACTCGAGCAAAAAAAGAGAGATTCAAAGTTGGAAACTCTTCCAATAAAAGAGAAATCTCACTAGACGAAGAGCTAGTTGGCCATGTGTACGTAACTAATTAGTACCAAAATTAATAATTTCATTGTTGTTACCTTTGATGATCTCTGTAAGACCCGTGTCTTGGGGAAACAAGAACGGTGAGCAATCCCACATCGCTTGGGGAGGGAAAGGTGAAGTGCTTAAATGTGTGGGCACTTCTCTTCCTAGCACGAGGCCTTTTGGGAGCTCACTGGCTTCGGAGTCATAGGAACTCCGAAGTTAAGCGAGTTGGGGGCCAGAGCAATCCCAGGATGGGTGACCAACTGGGAAGTTGCTCATGAGCTCCCAGAAACAAAACCGTGAAGGCAGAAAGAGGGGCCCAAAGCGGACAATATCGTGCTAGGGGAGTCGGGTCGTGACAATCTCACTCATTGCTTTGATTATTGGTCTTAAAATTGTTGGCAAGTCCTTAGTTAGGACTAGCCAAGGCGCCCGTGCGATGCTGCGGGTTTTGAAATTGCGCCAAATGTGTATAAATTCGTAAAAATATGTAGGAGACATATGGCTTTGTTTATATGTATATTGAGATCTAAATAGTAGCATCTTGCTTAGTTTAGTACGTTTAAGTTACAAAAAAATAAATTAAGTAAGATAGATAAATTAATAAGATGACATATGTGCTGCTTATTATTTTAAAATACTGGCCCTATTTATATATAAATTGAGATCTAAACAGTGCCATCATGCTTAGTCAAGCAGCTATTAAAACATCAAAATATGAGCAGCCTTGAGCTGCATATTGTTTAAAAAAACTTGTTCAGGCATCTATCTATATTTTAATGGGTGGTGGACATGGATTTTTCTTTTTTGATGTTTCTTGCAAGGGCATCTAGCTGTTGCTGCATTTGTTGCGTAGCTGGCTGATGTTCCTTCTTCTCCATTCAAAAGGTTTTAACTCTGTTGGTATAAAATCGGAAAATGGCAAACGTTAATTATTATGATAGAATTAAGTTAAAAAAGTAACCAGAGAAATAACAATTTACATACATCAAGCATTCTATTAATCTGATGGATAAAAGTATAAGGTCAATTTTATTGAATCAATTGAAAATAAACTGAAAACAATTGTGACAATTTTAATAGAATCAAATCAAGGGGTGTTGACTCAGTTGGTATAAACTTGGTAAACAGTAGGTGTTGGTGTCGACGAATGAGAAAATTTGAGCAAAGAGAATGGCTATTGTTATAGAATTAAGGCCAACAACAAAAACTGCAAAAACCACAATTTAAATGATCTAAAAATGCCTAATAACCTATAAACAGAAATAAGAAGATCTAGTGACCTAATGAGCAAATTTGTTACGGAAGTAAGATAATCTAGTGGAGAAGTAAGCTCTAGCCGGAGCAATGATGTATAAACAGCTATATGTTATAGAAGTAGAATAAAGGTAGAGATAAGACGCTATAGGTTATAGTTTTGTTAATTACAATTAAAACATTTAATAACAATGTTTCAAATTTGAAAAATGTAATTGAAAATCAGTTCATATGGGAGCTCCAAAAAAATACGGAAAAAAAAAAAGAAAATTTTAATAATTAATAAAAAAGAGTAAATAAATTTATATATTTATTGAAGTTATCAAATAACCATACTCCAACTTCTAAAAACAGGGAAGTTTCTTAGTATGAACAAAAATTTCAAGTGACTAAAATATTAGAATCAGGGAGAATTGAAATATATGTACATCACTTGTGTAAACCACAAAAATTAATGCAAGGCAAATGCTTTAAAATCAAACACATTGGCTCAAAGGAATGAAACCAAATTGCATTCTAAAAGACGTTTGAGAAAAATCATATTTTAAAAGAAGAGTTGATAAATTTTTTTTAAAATTGAATCATAATTGAAGACAATTATGAGAAAGGAAACTTTGCCCAAATTCAATGCAATCAACTACCACTTAATATAGAGAAATTGAGTGGGGAAATAAGCTGTGAACAATGAAATATTATGTATGTAATGTGTACATTAATGAGATGAATGAATTGAAAAGGAAAGAGCATAAACTCTGGTGTGGAAGTAGGAGAGGCAATTTGGAACTGCCCTGGGCTTTTTTCTTCTTCAAACCGATAATTAGTAAATTGTCAGAATCTGACACATTTTCTTCTCTGGTTTTATGTTTATCATCGGCAAGACAAACACTTTCATAAGAGATTTCTATACCGTTTGAAATGGCAAAACTATGAGCTTCTTGCATCATCTGATTTCGTTTGCTATCTCCTTTTACGCATTATGCACAGAAATTTAAAACCCCAAGCAACAGATTGATAACTGGAAAGGAGAAAAAACATGCATTTATAAAATTTTAAATTATCAATCACACCTATACTGTAATTAAGCAAAGCAAATGCACCGTGATATTGACAGAACCACAGAAATGAGAATTTTCAATTGTCATAATATTTGGCAATCAATAAGCTACAGCCACCATGCATGCAGACTTTTGAAAAATGGATGAAACACTAACCTGTAGTCAAAGAAGCTATCAAGCACTTTGAAAAACAGCCACACAAAAGCAGGATCACAACAGCTATCTAAAATACAAAGACAGAAAAACAAAATTAGGCTAATAAATATAATTTTGGTTTTGCTTGTGAGATAAGACAGTCTCAATTAATGAATCTGTTTCAATACTGATTTTCGTATTGAAGAATATCAAGAACCAACAGAAACTATACTTTTTGTTACATTTCCTTTTCTTACACAAACAAATGAAAACATGAAAATATGACGATACGAATTGAAGACTGGTTCCTTTTCAAATTCCTTGAGAGGAGAATCACATGTTAATTGGTTTAAAATTAACCAACACCATAAAGAGAAAACTAAATAAACACATCACAACTCATTTCGAAATCAATATGCATGCAAGACAGTGTAGACCAATACCAAATGTTCTGTAAAAAACAAATTCGATAAAACCAAACATCGACCAAACCCTATATAATTAGTTAAGCCAACGTGGTCAACTTGTTTCTGGAAATTAGTTCAATGGACCATAATTGTGACTTGCAACCAACCATTTGCAGAGGAGCAATTTGAAATAAAATTAAGCAACAATCAAAAGAGCGAAAAATAAAGACATTCTAGATTCTAAAACAGGGCTCTGAACAACCTGGTGATCCCCAATTGGAGCATTAGTGCCACATGTGCTACATCTTTGACAGTTTTTTGATATATAGCCAACCTTTTTTAAAAAAAAATCTCATCCTCATTGTTAAAAATTGATGATCTTTTCCCACTTTAAAGTTATTTCCACTATGAATTGAAAACAAAAAAACATTTATTATGAAACAGGTGGAAGATTTTGAGTAACTGTTTACAACTCAACAACATTTTCCTTGGCACTAATGCATTCAATATCGATCTATTATAATTTAACTCAGGCTTTTTCTGGTTTTTGTAATTCTTTTAGGCATCATATTCAAAAATTACAAATTCCAACCAACACATCGATGGCTGGAAAGGAAAAAATAAACATGGATTGAGTTAAATTACAATATTTTTATTACATCTATAGCCTAATCAAGCAAAATGGACGCACACCAACAGTATTGTAGCTATATAAATAAAAAAATTCAAAACAAACATATGAAAACGAATTAAATACAATTTCTATAGCCTAATCAAGCAAACCATATAAGCAATAACATCAAAATGATAGAAATAACAATTTTCAAAGACACAATATCCAAAAACCAATTAGCCACAGTTGATATGCAAGACTTATTCAAAAGACGAATAGAAAACTGACCTGATGTCTAGCAGCAATGGGAAGAGCTACCAAACAGTCTAAAAAACACAAAAACCGAAAATTCAGTTTCTTTGTTTCTTCTTCTCATAAGGCATATAATCCTTTTTTTTTGCGTTTGAAAATTGTTGAAGTCTATTTTTGTACGGTTGCCATCTTTCTTTAGGACTTGAAGAAAAAATAAGAAGCACACACTTATCCCAACCAATTGTCAATTGACACCATTAGCTAATTCCTATGCTCTATTCACAAAATTTAAAACAATTAATTGGAAATTTCAGCCTAGAAACTCACCTCCTGCTTAACATAACCGAAAACACCAACCAAACTGCTCTATCCAAAGCAACAAAAGAGCACCTGCAAAATATCAAAAGAAAACATGGGTTTTAAAAATAAAAAAAAATAAAAAAAATAAAAAGAGAGAAGAAAAAGGAAGAAAAAACAGAAAAAATGGAGAAGAAATTAGCTTGCGTATGTTTATACATGCACAATCTTTTCATAAAACCAAAAGTTTAGCCTGAGCAAAATCTGCAAGGCAAGAAATGACTCAAGATTAC